GGGCGGGTCCCGGGGGGTCCCGGGGCAGATACGACTCTTCCCCGCCACTCCCGTTTCACTCCCTCTCCGCCGACCCTGTCGGCGTGTGGAAGAGGCTGTTTCGATTGTCTCGTCGTCGGGCCCTCCTCCTCGAATGCGCCAGCCACAGCGAAATTCAGCAACGTTGTAGTTGAGTCGAAGGAAGCCCCTTCCCTTTGATCCCTTCCCCACCGGGGGTGGGGTGCCCGGAGGGGGTCCCCGCGGGGGGGTCCCGGGGAGGTCCCGGGGCAGATACGACTCCCCCACTCCCGCCACTCGCGTTCCCCTCGCTCTCCTGACCCTCCTTTTCCTCGTTCAGCCACGGACGCGATGCCCACAAAACAGTTGGTCGTTCATCGTCGTCGTGAGCGTCGTAGATGTCATCGTCGTCGTCGTGGTCGTCGTCGTCCTCGCCGTCACGTCGTCCATGTCCACTATCAGCCTTTCCGGGGAACCACCCCAGACAAGAGGATGTGTGCCCCTTCCCCCCTTGCTTTACTCACCCCCGTGAGCCTCCCCATGAGTGCCCTCCTCTTCCTTCGCCTCCTACTCCCGCTCCTCCTCGGCCTCGGGCTCCGCCTCTTCATCCCCTTCCTCTTCCCCCTCATTACCATCATCCTCACGTCCCTACTCCTCCTCCAACTTCTCCTGCCGCCGGTTTTACACCACCACCGCCCCCTCCTCCAACGACATCATCATCATCATCATCATCATCATCATCATCATCATCATCATCATCATCATCATCATCATCATCATCATCATCATCATCATCACCATCACCATCATCATCAGCAGCAGCAGCATCATCATCATCAGCAACATCATCAGCATCATCATCATCATCATCATCATCATCATCATCATCATCACCATCGTCATCGTCATCGTCACCGACATCATCCGCATCGTCATCATCGTCAACATCCTCGTCATTGCTTTCCTCCTCCGTCTCCTGCTGCTCATGCTCGCCACGCTCTACCCACCGCTGCCCCTCCTCCTTGTCAGCCGTCCTTCTCCTGCAAATGCGTCCCTGCTCGCCTCGCTCTCCCCCCTGCTCTCCCCCTCTCCTCGTCTTCCCCTCCTCGTCCCTCTCCCCCCCTCCTCGTCCTCCTCCTCCCCCCTCGCACCTCCTCCTCCTCCTCCTCCTCCTCCTCGCCCCTCCTGCTACCTAGCGTCCTCCGCCACCTGCTCCTCGACATCCTCGTCGTCCTCGTCGTCGCAGTCTTCAGGGTCGGCGGCACCGGCCGTAAGGCCTTCGCAATATGCAAAGAGCTTCACGGACTGAGGGCGGTTCCTAGTCAAAGTGAAGTTCTCGCCTCCGCGCCGCGCACATTCATTTTTTAGAGTTGCTAGAGTTTCACGGCTCCCCATGGTCAACTATCAAAAAGGGCGCGTTGGAACGATTGAGGACTGTCAGGGCGCAACAGTTACGTTCACTCGCGGTGTTCAGGTCCCAGGAAGGGCGAGCGGAACGATTCAGGAGCGCCAAGACGCAGCAGTCAAGTTGGCTCGTGGCGTTGGAATCCTGAGAATGGTGCTTCTGCGCGCTTCAGGATCTTCACACGGTTACCCCCCAACGGGGCACTTTCCTCAGCGGAAATGAAGCCCTGTAGAGGCCCATGAAGACTTTGCTCGGAAGGAGGGTATATTACAACATCGTTGATTCATATTGGGTTTACACTATTCCTCCTCCCCCTCCTCCTCCCTCTCCTCCTGCGCCTCCTCCTCATCATCATCACCATCAACATCATACCTCATCATCGTCCTACTCTTTCTCATCCGCATCCGCCTCCTCCGCGCATCATGGCGCCAGATATGAACTGCACCGACAACTTTCTACTCCGATGCATTTAGGATGCCCTTCGGCTCTGCGCATCGCAAGTCCAATGTGGTCTGTCTCCGCCAAAGTGCCTCCTGATAAGAACAGGCGGTTGTAGGGAACAAGAACCCAGCACAACCTTCCGTTGTACGCCACCGTGCTTTGTGCCCGTTGTAGCGTGCAAGAAGGACAACTCGGGTTTCTGGAATGTTCGAAGCCCCCCCTCCCCTTTCAGGACGCGTTTCCTTGCATGCGCCGCTTCCGCTTCCTCCCGAGGCTCCCTGGGTTGCCTCGCACCTCCCTGACGCTCTCCCAGACGTCCAAGATGCCCAAGATGGCTTCCGAGACGGCCCAAGCAGGCCACCAAGGCCGCCAAGATGGCCGCAGAGCGCTCCTAGACGGCCCAAGATGGCTTCCAGACGGCCCACGAAGCCGTCGAGGCGTCCCAAGAGAGTCCCAAGAGCCTTCCCAAGAGGGTCCCGAAAGGCAGGTGTTGTTCGGATGCCCGACGTCCCAAAACGACCCAAGAGGCCAGCAGGACAGCCCCTAAGACGGCTCAAGGGCCCACCAAGAGAGCTCCAAGACGGCCCAGGAAGGCTCCAAGACGGCCCAAGAAGCGCTCAGGAATGCCCAAGAGGGCCCCATGACGGCCCCAAGAAGGACCGAAAAGCGTGAACACGAACCCACAAATCGAGCCTTCCGCAAAAAGAGGGGGTCAAGGAGGCCCAAGAGGGCCAAAAGAGAACCCCAAGAGACCCCCAAGAGGGCCCCGAAAGGCGAACACCCTTGAGTTGCCCCAGCTGTTTCAATGTTTTTGGTTGTCGCCTTTTCAAGCTTCCGGCGCTGAAAAGACGACCCAAGATGCCCCCCAGTGCCCCCCCGAGACGGCGCAAGAAGCCCCCAAGGGAGCTCCAAGACGGCCAAGGAGGGCTCCGAGACGAACCGAGAGGCGCCCACGACTGTCCAAGAGGGCCCCAAGACGGCCCCAAGAAAGGCCTTGGAGTGGGAACGCGAACCTACTCCAGATTTCGTAATAAAGGGAGGGGGGTCTCATTTCGGGGGGGGGGGGTCTTTTCCGAGCTATCTTGGAGGGCCTGGGGGGGTCTGGGGACGATGTTTGGGAGGGTTCTCCCAGGGGGGGGGGGTACAACTTCTCGTCTGGGAGGGCTGAGACCCCCTCCCTTTTATTACGAAATCTGGAGTATCACTCGAGGCTTCTGCCCCGGGAGGCCCCCGGCAGGCCCCCAACTGCCTTTTCTCGAGCAGCTGCCGCCCAGGAAAAGCGCTGCGCTGGCGCGGTGGCGGAGTCTCACCGGCCCTGGGCGTGAGAAGTTGAGAGCGCTTCTTCTTCTTCTTCTTCTTCTTCTCCTTCTTATTCTTCTTCTTACTTATTATTATTCTTCTTCTCCTTCTTCTTACTTCTTCTTATTCTTCCAGCCCCCTTCGGCCCCTTCGGGGAGTGGATTCTCAATGTGAACCACCCCCTCCCCCAGGCGACGAGCAGCCAGCCCAGACCCATGAGAACACCCCCCCTTTCCACCCTTTGCAGCAAACAAAAAACAAGCAACAAAAACAAACAATCACACTTTGCCTTCAGATCTGGAGCATGCGCACGCGACCCGCGACGACTTCGCATGGACTCTCTGAACTCTCATCTTTCCCGCGACTCCTCAGGATGTCACAGGTTGTCCATTGGTCCTGGTGCTTTGCGCTCCGTGGAGGAGCCGCCCTGCTCACAGAGTGCCCGGCACTTCGCAGCAGGATGACTCGAGAAGATCCTGGGCTCCCTAGGGCCGGGGCCACAGGCACCTGGGATCCTTATTGGTAACAAGGGATACGTCGACCCCTATCCCAGGCTTCGTGGGGTTTCCGAATGGACCAGAAATTTGGGGCCCAACCCTGGGATATACGATGGGGGGGGTGCCCATCCTCGATAGGGGTGCGTCCGAATGGCCCCCTTGGGGTGTATCCCAGGGTTTTTCCATTTTTCTGAGCGGCCAAATTTTTTGGGCGAAACTCGGGGATTGGGGGAGAAACATCGCCTGCGAATTGGTTCCCCGTAGCTGACGCACCTGGCGCGGCTGGAGCACGTGGCACACTTGGCGCACGCGGAGCACGTAGCGCAACCGGCACGCTTGGGCCTCCTGGGTGCCATGGTGCACCTGGAACCAGTGGCGCGCACGGCATGTGTGAAGGGGAACTGGGACACACAAATAAATACACACAAACAAAAATATCCCCCATATTTTCCCATATTTTCTGGGTTCTTGTCTTCCCCCCCACTTCCCATATTTTCCCATATTTTCTGGGAATCGCCGATTAATTGTGTCTGTGTGTTTTTTCCCCTCCTGAATGTGTGGCGTTCCTAGGCGATCTGCTGACACTCGGGTGCTACTTCTGTGTTAGGAGGGCGGGTGGGAGTGAGCTAGACGGCCTGCTGTCTAGGAGGGTCGATTGATCACTGTTCCCTATTAACAAACACCCCCTCCACCAGGCGACCGGCAGCCAACCAGGACCAAGGAGGACACCCCCAACATCCCTGTCAAAAAACAATGTGAAGTCCACTTCACGGCATCGGGGGGGCCGCGAGCATGCTGTGTTGTTTTGTGACAGGGCCGCCCGGATGCTCACATGTTGCCCGAAGACGGCCCCGAGCTGTGCCAAGGAGTCCCCAAGATGGCCCCCACGAGGCTCCCAAAATGCCCCCAAGAGGCCCCTCAAGAGACCCCCAAGAGCCCCCAGGAGGCTCCCCAGAGGCACCCAAGACGCCTCAAGGAGCACCCAGGACTGCCAAGAGACCCCATGACACCCATAGAGGACTCCAAGAAGATCCAGGAATGAACTCCAAAGAGACTCCGCAAAGCGTCCAAGAGGCTTCTGGCCTGTCTGCTCGCCCTCCTCCTCCTCCTCTTCCTCATACGCCTATTCCTCCTCCTCCTCCTCCTCCTCCTCCTCCTCCTCCTCCTCCTCTCTCCTCCCTCCTCCCCCTCCCCCTCCTCACTCCCCTCCCCTCCTCTCCTCCTCCTCCTCCTCCCTCCTCCTCCTCCTCCTCCTCCTCCTCCTCCTCCTCCTCCTCCTCCCTCCTCCTCCTCTCTCCTCCTCCTCCTCCTCCTCCTCCTCCTCCTCCTCCTCCTCCTCCTCCTCCTCCTCCTCCTCCTCCTCCTCCTCCTCCTCCTCCCTCCTCTCCTCCTCCTCCTCCTCCTCTCCTCCTCCTCCTCCTCATCATCATCATCATCATCATCATCATCATCATCATCATCATCATCATCATCATCATATCCTGCTCCTCCTTCGCCTCCTCCTTCTTCTCCTCCTCCTCCTCCTCCTCCTTCTCCTCCTCCGCTTCCTCCTCCTTCTCCCTCCTCATCCCTGATCAGGGCAACTCGCCTGGGCATCGCTTCTGAGCGGGCTGGTGGGGTTACGCGAAGCGTCTAGAATTGCCTGGGGCAGCTGGATCACTAAAACTCATGTCTCTTCTGACGCCCGCCCTGCGCCCCAAACAGCCACAAGTTGTTGACAGACTTGCTGTTCCTCTTGGTAGGCCGAATGCGAGTCATAGAAAATGTGGTCCCCCTAACCCAGTTTTACGGTTTGTCATGAATGATCGTGGTGCCTCTCTCCTACTGGTGCGTCTCCTCTGCATGATCATCCTCACAACTCATGTTCCTCCGTATGCCCTCTCTTCTCACACTCCTCCGCCGTTTGACACCCCGCGCTTCTCCTCCTCCAGATCCTCCTCTTCAGTCCTCTGCTGGACTCCTATCACGCCGACGCAAGAAATTATGAAACGAGCGGCGCCTGCGTCTGCACCGAAACGAAGCATCTGCATGTAACTCTGGAATGTGTCGGGTCCCCTGCTTGCTGGTTGAGATAGACGCTGACCGACGCCGATGCACAGGGGTCGGAGGACAAGGAAGACGAAGAGGACGAGGAGGAGGGGAGGGAGAAGCAACAGCAGCAACACCAACGAAGCAAAGGACATCGCCTCCAGGATGCCACATTTCTGTCCCTCCGCCGCGTCCGTGATGGGGCCTGGCCAGGTGGGGGCCTTGCTCCCCTTCTCTTCCTCCTACAGATGCGCATCCCAGTCCCTACCCACACATTCCATCACCATTTTGCTCCGTCAGAACGCAACCACAACGGTGATCTTCCCCTTCAGCAGAGCTGCGCCGCAGCGTGAGACGGAGGATAGCCTGACGGCCGCCGAACTGCTGAAATCATGCACACAGGCGGTGCCTGTGACGACACACCAACCCGCAACCTTGCCTGCACAATGTGGGCTCTCCTGCTGCACGACGTGGGCTCTTGTACAGGCTGCATGCGCCCCCCCCCTTCGTTTTGGCGGCTCCCCGGGCGGCCGCACAGCCTTCGGAGCTCTCGAAGAGCTCTCCGACGCTTTCCAGACGACCGAGGAGAGGAGGAGGAGGAGGAGGAGGAGGAGGAGGAGGAGGAGGAGGAGGAGGAGGAGGAGGAGGAGGACGACCGAGGAGAGGGCCACCAGGGCCGCCAAGATGACCCCGGATGCCTCCAAGACGCCCGGAGCTGCGCGTGCTGGGCGGTCGGCTCGCGGGCACCCGCGAGCGCCCTTTTGGCTCTCCCTGCGGTGCTCTATTCTCTGCATCGGTAGGGGAGCCCGAAGCCCATTTGCTTGTCTCCTCCTCCTCCTCCTCCTCCTCCTCCTCCTCCTCCTCCTCCTCCCGTGAGGCGAGCAACGGTGAAGACGTGAAACGGTGGCGCCCTGTGGCACTCCACTGTGAGCGCCCTCGGTGCCCTGTGGTGCCATAGTATGCCTCCTGGTGCACCACGCAGCCTGCGACATACCGAGTACGCCGAGCAGATGGAACCTCACAGGTTGCCCCACGTAGCTCGGACCGAGTTCAGGTGCACCACGTTTGCACCGCACCTGTTGCACCACATGGCTTGCATCACATAGATCGCGCCACAGACAATATCCTACTCATTGGGGTCTACGCTGGCTCACACTGATAGAAGGTATTCCGGGATGGCGAGCAAGAGGAGGAGGAGGAGGAGGACGACGATAATGGGGAAGGAGGGGAAGTCGAAGAAGTGCACGCTGCTCCGCTGCAAGACCCAACAGATCGGACCTCAGACCGCATATTCCCCCAAACTGCGCGTAGATCGAACCGTCCCCGTGAGACAAAGCTACGGAGGAAGTCGTTGCTCCTCTTATGCTTGGGACTAATAAAACATTGAGACAGGCTAGCGGTGGGAGTCGGCGATTATGCACACGCTGTGCCAACATATCTGCAAGCCTGTTCAAACGAATGCCGAGCGCTAGAAGCGTTGGGCGGGCAATCATTCGCGCTCGCGTTCGCAATCGCTTGAGCTGGCACAGGTGACGGAAAGAGCGAGGCACGAGTGATGACGTTCTAGTGTGCGAGGCCCGGGTGCAGGGTTGGTAATGGCCGTTTTCGGGTTTTCCCTCGGGTTTTTGTACGTGTTTCGGGTTCTCCCCTTTTCCGTCCCAGAAGAGCCCAAGACCGCCCAAGACAGCCCCAAGACGTCCCCAGGGGCCTCCAAGACGCCCCAAGAGGCCCCCAAGAGGCGTCCCAAGAGGGCCCCAAGAGGCCAAACTCATTGATTTCCCTAGGGAAACATACATGTTTAGCATATACGGCTTTTCGGCTTTCACGGGTTGACGACGGCCAAAGAGGCCCCCAAGACCGCCCCAAGACGACCCAAGAGGCCCCCAAAAGGCCCCTAAAAAACAGCCCAAGAGGGCCCCAAGACGGCCCAAGAGGCGCCCAAGACAGCCCAAGAGGCCCCCAAGACCGCCCCAAGACGGCCCAAGAGGCTCCCAAGAGGCCCTTAAAAAAACGGCCCAAGAGGGCCCCAAGACGGCCCAAGAGGCGCCCAAGACAGCCCAAGAGGGCCCCAAGAGGGGGACCACGAAACCCAAAGTCTAGCCTTTCGCCCCAAGACGCTCCCAGGAGGCCCCAAGGGCCCCCCAAGAAGCCCCAAGAGGCCCCCAAGAGGCGTCCCAAGAGGCCACCAGGAGGCCAAACTCATTGATTCCGTATAGGAAAACATACATTTTTAGCCTACACGGCATTTCGGCTTTCACGGCGTTGATGACGGCCCAAGAGGCCCCCAAGACCGCCCCAAGACGACCCAAGAGGCCCCCAAGAGGCCCCAAAAACAACCCAAGAGGCGCCCAAGACGGCCCAAGAGGGCCCCAAGACGGCCCCAAGAGGGGGACCACGAACCGAAAAGTCGAGCCTTTCGCCCCAAGAAGCTCCCAGGAGACCCCACGAGCCCCCCAAGAAGCCAAAAGAGGCCCCCAAGAGGCCCCCCAAGAGGAAGGCCCAGAGTCGCCAGAGGGGCCGGAGGAGCGCGCCGCATCGCCGATGCCGATGCATCGGCGACGCCGGCGCGGAGAAAATCGGGCTTCCACATCGAGCCACATCGGCGATGCATCGGCGATGCGGCGCGCTCCACCGACCTCACTCCGTGCCTCCCTGGCCGACCAAGCGCCGTGGTTGTCTGCACCGACCCCCTCCGACGGCCGCCCGGGGAGGCGGCCAAGATGCCCGCTGCCGGCTCCACGACCCCAAGGTTTGGACACCCGAGTGATCCGAGCTCCTCCTCCTCCTCCTCCTCCTCCTCCTCCTCCTCCTCCTCCTCCTACCGCCCTCCTCCTCCTCCTCCTCCTCCTCCTCAGAGCTGGTCCAGGTAGGGCCCTCATGTGATCGAGATGACCCCTGGAACCGCTGGATCCGGAATGACTCCTGCTTCAGGAGAGCACGGGCTCCCAAGAGATACCCACTAGGCACCCAAGAGGTCCCGAGGGGCCCCCGAAAGCCAATCAGATGCCCCCAAGAGCCATCCACGTGTCCCCTGAGAGGCATTCCAGGAGACCCTCATATGCATCGCCGAGGCTCCTGACCCACAGGCCAAGCACGAAGCCACGACTCTCGACGAATTTGCTGTTTGGGGGGTCGGCGGACTGGCATACGCCATACGCCTGTCGAACAACTCCTGCTTCGAGACAGCACTGGACGGCATCTGCGTGGGGCAGGATGGGATCCGGGAAGGCTCGGGCTGAGCGCAATCCAGAGCCACTCCCGCGCGAAACTGGCAGGCCCGAATCAGGTGTTATCCATGACCACCCCCCGCACTGATTACTCGGGGCCCTGAACCATCGCCGTCGCGATCCCCCTTGTGGCTTTGGGGTCATAACGCGGGCCCCCGGCATCCGCTCGGGACGATCCGGGCCCCCCCCTGATCTCATCGCCGCCGCCACCGCAGGGGGCCGCCCGAGGCTGACGGCGGACGGCAGCGGCGGGCGGCGCGGCGGCGGCGGGGCAGCCCCTCCAACAGCAGGGCACCAGGCATGCACCTGCATGCGCCGGTCCCGGCCGGGCGTATCCCGGGCCCAAGATCGGTGCATGCGTCCTCCTGGCTTTGGCAGGCAGGCAGATGCGCACCGATTCGTGGGCCGCGGATCGCCCCGACCAGGGTCGGTGCAGGCGTCGCCCCCGACCCACAGGGCGGCGGCGGCGGGGGCGCGCGGGCGGCGGTCGAGGACGACGAGGACCTCCGCGCCGCCACCTCCAAAGGCTGCCCGAGGCCGCCGACGGGCGGCGGCGGGCGGCGCCGCAACGGCGGCGGACACGGGACGCACTAACCCTGGTCAGCACAAACCCAAGTCGGCCAGGGCCTCGTCGCGAAGCCCGGCCAGCCGCGTAGTAGCTCCCAAATCCGGGTCAGCGGAGGGCGGAAAGGGGAAATCGGCCCAACGGCCCATAGACCTGGGTCAGCCAAGGGGGGTTGGCTGACCCCTGTCAGCGCTGAACCCCCGTCGCGCGAGCCCCGACCGCTAGACCGCTATGCCCCCCGTACCTCTCCCAGGGCGCTTCCTGACCAGAACCTCGATGAGAATCCAACCGTGGCGGCGAAGACTCTCCGGGACGAGCGGTGGTATCGGAGAAGGAGGAGGAAGAAGAGGAGGAGGAGGACGAGGCCGGTATCTGTTCCTGCTGCAGGTGGCGGCGGCGGCGGCGGGGGCGAGCGGCCCATGGTCGCGCTCAGTTGCTCGGCCAGCTCGAGCCAGCTGCGCCGGGCTGCGCCCGCGGCGCCGGCGTGCGCGCCAGCGAGGCGGCGTGTGCCCTCCTCCAGGCGCGAGGCGGCCTCGAGGGCCTCGCCGACGGGGGCGGCGGCGCGCGCACGGCAGGGCCACTCGCACAGAGACGGCCTCGGCCCCGGGCTTGAGCCCGAGCCTGAGCCCTGGAGCCCACCCTGAGCCTCAGCCCTAAGCCCGGGACCCAGCTCGGGCCAAGACTGCGGCTGGGTTGAGGGCTGGGGCCCAGGACAAGGGGCTCAGGGCGAGAGCCTCGGGGCACCCCCACGGCGCCTCGGGCCGGCAGGCGGCTTTGAGAGGGCGGCCTTCTCGAGGGGCCTGTGGGGAGCCAGCACCCCGTCGGGAACCTCAAGGGCGGCCCCGAAGTGCGTCGGGGCGCGCGTTCAGGGTCTTCCCTGCTGCTGTTGCTGCCGCCGCTGCTTCTGCCGCTGCTTCTGCTGCTGCTGCTGCTGCTGCTGCTGCTGCTGCTGCTGCTGCTACAGCTGCCCCTTTTCTTGCCCCGGCTACTGATTCTGCTGGTGAAGATGCCGATGTTGCCAAACTGGTGCTCCCGCCCCCGCCCCTGCTCCCGTGCTCCTTGCGTTCACGCTCCTGGTGGTGCTCCATTCCGTGATCGTGCTGCTCGCGCTCTCAGAACAGCGGCAAGCATCGAGCTCGGGCCCATGTCGCCTCCTCTTCCGCGGGCGGCTTCCAGCGCGGAGCCAAACGGCGGGCCTCTTCGCCGGAGGGCCCCAAGGCTGGACGTCCTCATGACGAGCGCTCGTTCACACGGTGAGGCTTGGGGTTGCGCGCAGACAGCTACCCAAAGGAAGCCTCGGATGTCCGCACCAATTCCAGGTTACAGCCGTTGCGCTACCACAAGGGGCGCTGAATCGCTCAGAAACTGCGTCCTGCCGCGCCACAGCGGCAGAGATAGGGGAGAGGGGGAGAAAGAGAGGAGGGCCGCGCTGGGGCCGCGGCCGCCAACACTACTCTGGCGCTCGAATAGCCCACCGAGCTGGCAGAGGCAGTCGGGACGACGACGCACCCGACGACGCAGCCGCCACCGCCGCTGCCGCCGACGACGACGACGCTGCCGCCGCAAACGTCGACGTCGACGTCGACGTCGACGTCGACGTCGATGACGACGACGACGACGACGACGACGACGACGACGTTTCATTTCGTTTCATTTATGATCGTTTCGTTCCGTAGGCGTCTTGCAGCGGTGGCTCCAGGCCCCGACGTCGCTTGCGAGCTGCTTCGTTGCAAAGCGGTTTGTGGAAGTTGTGCCACAGCTCTGCGCCGTGCAAGCCACGGTCTCTGCCCGTGTCCCCACGGGAGCCGGTGGATGGGGTCAGGTCGGGCGTGCCCCCCCTGCGGGCGGATGTGGGGCGAAAGATTACAGATACGTTCGAAAGTACACCAAACATATGCAAACACTGTCAAAACATCGTCCCGAGAGCATTTTTTAAAAAACATGTTTGAACATTCCCCCTGTAGAGGGACATGCCCGACCTAAGGATAGGGTGGAGCCAGTCGCCCCGATAAAACGTGGCGGAGATCGCGCTCCCAGCGCCAGATTCCTACTGCACGGTAATGGAATGGGGACCCCTGCCACCCTGAGATTGGACGCTCCAAAACAACTGGGGCAGGCGGTTTGTGACAGTTTTCGGCCTCTGGGGGCCCTCGCTGGGCCTCGGGAGCGTCAAACAATTATTCAGGACGAAAAACCAGCCCCGGGGAAGTTGTCCGGACCTCCTGGGTCCACGCACCAAAACAATTGGACCAGCCGGGTGTCTGGGATTGGGACCCGGTCCATCGTAGAATATCAGCACACGGTAGGCGACTCTGTTGGAAGAGACCACGGCAAGGTGTCGGAGGTGGCCCGCCCAAGCGCGCTGCAGTACACCCTGCGAAATGCTTTAGAAATCATGGGTTAAGAAACTCATAGTCTCAGAATTTGAACAAAAAACCAGAATGTCCACTGACCGATCCTCTTACACGGGGCCAGGGGGCAGCTTTTTCTCAGGAGGAGGTGAGGCAGCCGGGCTCTTGTCGAGGCAGAGGCGGAGCTAAAGGTGCCGAGCCTCAGGTACCCCTGAGGGCAGAGAAAAAAGAAAAGAAGGCGAAAGCGGGGTGGGTTCGCAGCAGGGCGGGAGCTTGAGCCGCAGTGTCATGCGGCCCCGCTCACCCCTCTCCCACTTACTGTATTTAATTCAGACAGTGACCGATCCTCTTACACGGGGCCAGGGGACAGCTTTTTCTCAGGAGGAGGTGAGGCAGCCGGGCTCCTGTCGAGGCAGAGGCGGAGCTAAAGGTGCCGAGCCTCCAGTACCCGAACCCGACTGGTCAACTGGCCGTAGGCCGCACACCATATATTCCGTTAATTCTGATCTGTTTGTTGTTGTTTATCACCTCCATAAGGTATCGTCCCATCGTATTGCAGAATTGTGTAGGGTAGGCGGCACCGATAGCAGTCCAATGGATACCTTCTGGCGTCTTCTCCCTGTCAGTTCGATGTGCGGCTTGCGGGACTTTGAGCATATATTCCCACGAGGACAGCAAAGGCGCTCGATAGCTGTACATCTGCCGGCATTCCACAGCGCAATCCGTGTGCGCTTTTTCCACCTAGCACTGAACTGGCACATGTCACAGACGTGAACCACACAGGAGTCGTCGCATAATAGTCTACACAGGTGTGGTGCACGCCACATCATAGATGTACTTGGGTTTTCCAAAGCTACTGGTGTATTATGACGATTTGCAAGGCGTATGATCTGGGTAGAGAATAGGAAAGTGTCGTTACCAATATTTAGCTTAGCCTGATTAGCAGCACTGAGCCCAGGGAGTCCAAGAATGTGTTCTGAGTCCCGAATAGCAGGCCGTCTAGCAATAGACCAGGTGGTACACGGGGTCCCTAACCAGATGCCGACGACAACGTTCCCGCGGATCCAACCTTTGATAACGGCCTGGAAGGCCGGGCACAGATGGTCCTGGAAAGCGTGGTTTTTGACATCCAGGCTGAGAACGGCGAACCCCTGGGACTTCAAAAACTTGCCGATACCCCCGTTGCCCGCGAAAAGCTCCAAGAAGATAACCCTTCTGTTGGTGGTGGCCTTCTTCAGCGCCCGAGTCAGGAGGTGCTGAAGGTACCGCTTCACCCGTTGGGAATGGCTCATCTTGGGGCCACTGCAGGAATCTGAGATACTAGCCGCGATGGAAGTCTGCTCACTGCTTGCTTGACACTGGATTCGAGAGCTGCTGGCACTCGCAGCTGGGAGGGCCGACTGCCGACCCCGAACTTGATGGCCTCGGCGAAGCTCTGGTGCACCGCGCTGCCGAAGTTGAAGACGGACGGACAGATTTGGTTGATCACGCGCAGCAGCTTGGTCTCCTTCCCGTACCTCTTCAAAGAGGCCACTGTTGTCCAACGACCCCGGCGCATGACTTGTTCTGGTGTTCGCTTTCTGGCCGCCAGGTCCTCCGACGCCCCTCCGTGTCGAAGCTGATACGGATGTGGGTCGAATGGTCCTAACCCCAGACCCTCGGCCACTGCGATGAACACGTCCTTGTAAAGCTCGCTGCTGAACCCCCACAGGCTCCCATCTGGCAGGCTGGCCTGCTTCAGGCCGAGAAGGGGCTCCCACAACCACTGCTCGTCGATCGTCACAGCGTCGTCGAAAGCCCCCGTCTTGCCGGGGATGCCGAGGGGGGTCTCGTGCAGCACTAAGCCCATCATGGTGTAGCCAGCACCTGCCACTGGGACCGCGGCGACGATGCTCTTGCCGAGGAGCGCCATCGCCTCGATAGGCCGCAGATAACAGACGTGTGATACCGCCACCATGATCGCCATCCGCGGGAGTCCGAGCATGATCATGCCCCCCGCGATCGCCAACGCCGCCAGGCGTGGCAGGGGGAGCCGGGACTGCGCTGGCGTCCGCCGACACCAGCTGACTGCGCACCGGGTCGCCCTCGGCAGCAGGGCCCGCGTCTTCTTGTACAACTCGGGGAAGACATAGCCCAGCGCTGCCAGGAGGCGGCTCGCCTCGTCGGCCCCGTGGCCCTCCATGCACATGGAGTTCAGATACTCCACCGCCACGTCGTCCAGCCCGGGCGCGTCCACCCAGCTCACCTTCGCCACGCGACAGAAGTCGAGGAAGAGGCGGAGGGTCCGCTGGTACAACAGCACGGTCCCCGGCTTCACGGCAATCTTTTCCAGCACGCTCATCCAAGGGAAGCGGTCGCAGGCGTCCACCTTCGAGGCCGCCTCCCGAGCCCGGGACGCTCGTTCCTTCTTGAGCTTCCCGGCCTTCTTGCTGAGCTGCTGCTGGCGCGTGCCGCTGGCCACGGACTTGCCCATCACCGAGCTCTCGCCCTGCGGGCGCGGTCCCGCCGCCTCTGTCGGTATGGCAGGGGCGTGCCTGTGGGGAGCCCTCGCGGCATCTCGCCTCGGCAGGTGCACGCGGAAGCTGGTGTGGAGGAGGTGGTGCAGGGGTCGGAACCTGTTGTTGGACCTCGAGCCAGGAGGGACCTGCGAAGAAGCCACGCTGCCCGCGGGACCCCTTGTCAGCCGGATTCCTCTCGGACGGGACCCATCGGACGTAGAGGCGACTCCCTGTAGCGAGTGAAAGGGCAGCGACACGTCGGAGAGGTCGGAGGAGATAGGAGGACCGAGCGCGGCCTTTGACCGCCCCAAGACAGAGCGGTAGATTGTCGACCAACGCCAGAACCCGTGAACCTCGGGCAAACCCAGATCGGAGGATATGTCGGTATCCCAGGACCAAGGCGTCGCCCTCGAGCTCGAGAATGTTAGACCTATGCCTTACTCTGGTAGCTATAACCGTACTCCAATATTTGTCATCCATAAAATCTTTGCTAATCTCGTCGAAACTTACAGCTAGGTCCTCAATGTTAGTCACCCTTGTTGTATCGGCCCGGCTAGAACTGAAACCGCTCCCAGAACCAGCCTCCAGAGGTGTCGTGGATCCCATCCCAGAAGAACTGAACACAGTCCCACCAACCGCGTCACAAGCCACAACCCCAGTCCCATTCCCAAAAGAACTGAGCATAGACCCAA